AAATTAGTAGCTAATTAACGAACTAATTGAAATTAAAGTGTTTGGTAAAATTAATTATTGAATTAATTGATAAATGTAAGAAGACATAAATAGATAAACTACGATATTAGAATTTTAATTAATGAATGGTAGATGATGTCATTTTTATAAATTGATAAAGATTAAAAAAAAAAAAAGTTAAAGACTCATTAGCTTATTTTAAAACGCTATTTGCAGTAACATTTCAACATAAGCTATTATTTTAAACTCATGACGCTTACCAAACATAACTTATAACTTAATTGTAGCTTAAAATATGCTCTAAGCTCTAAAATAAGTTATACCAATTAGAGCATATATTGAAATGCTACTCTAAGACTATGTTTGCATGCCTAACTGAAAAACTATTTTAAATGTTAAAATGTTTGGTAAAATTAATTATTGAATTAGCTTATAAGTGTAAAAAGACATTTTTTTAAAAAAACTAAAATATTAGGATTTTGATTAATGAATGGTAGATGATGCCCTTTTGTAAACTAATAAAGATGAAAATGAAAATAAAAAAGTTAAAAAGCCATTAGTTTTTTTTTTATTTTTTTTTATTTTTTTTTATGAGGACACCAATCAGGTCTTAACAGTAGCATTTCAAAATAAAAAAGAAAAAAAAGTTAAAAACTCATTGGCTTATTTTGAAACACTACTTGGGTAGCATTTCAAAATAATCAATTATTTTCATTTCCATTCATTGTGTCTGGCCGCATGAACCAAACACACCCTAACGTTTGCAGGTTATTATGTAGGAGTGAGTTGATACAAGTGAATATTTTTTGATACTGACTCAAATTTCTTTCATTATCAAAAAAAAAAAAAAAAAAAGGTTTGATTCTGATATAAGAATGGGAAATTTGGTCAATTAGTTAGCTGTCTAAAGAAAGGGCCTTATCTGGAGATGGTTGGACGCTAATAATTTGCAGTAATTAATGTATATCAACTTTTTAGGGGCAGCATAATTGAACCTCTTGAATGTTTAGATGAGATAGATGGTGTTTGGCCGGAGCACTAAACTTAAACACAAATTTAATTTACAGGTGTGGTGTCTTGTGATTATGGTAAAATCCTCCCATAATCACGACCAGCAGCATGCCATGGCCGGAAATTAAAGCTCGCTCTTTCTACCTAATCTAATCTCCTTATCTTTTACCATACTCTGATGATTAAGCAAACATTTAACATAGAATATAATCATTGCATTCAACCCGCATCTCATCTACTTCACCAACAGCTACCTAAGCTAGCTAGGCTGTTAACTTCTGTTTGGAGTCGAGAATAACTACAGTTATTACGTTGTTTTTATCTTGAAAAATACAGTAATATAATTATTGTCCTTTGTGTGCAGTGTTTACAACGTTCCTGTGAAGCGGAGAGGGAGAAGGCCAAAGTGTTGGCAGAGAGAGCGCTCGACTTTTTCGCTGCCTTATGTTCAGCTGCTCAGCTCTGATCGCTCTGCCTTTTGGCTTTTGGTTCAAGTGTTGCACCCACTCAATAAAGTAAAAGGATGGGGAAATTATATGGTTTTAGTGTTTGCTTTATATCTTCAACTTTCTTACATATTAACACTTTATCTAAAAAAAAAATCATTGAGTATATAGAAAAAATTGTTTGGTTCAATAATAACTCAAATAATAAGTTCCAATTAAGTCAATTTAACAACATTTAGAAGTCAATACATATTCTTCGATTAGGTCCACTTATGCTAAATGGACCAGTCCAATTTATACCAATCATGCAACAAGATTAGGCCTCTCGTAGTTATCCATCAACAGTGACAACTCTATTTTTTACTTATATCTCAAATTATTATATAGACTCACATTATAAAAATAATATAACAATATTTGTTAGATGAGAGAGTAAAAATTATACTATAAAATTTTGAAATTATACCATTTAAAAAAAAAAAATCCCAAAAATCACTCCACGTCTTTAAAACTTTCATCCTTTTTATGGTACATATACATGAATATAATATTAGTCATGTCATCTGATCCATCACTTGCACGCTTCCCAAACCCGGCCTACTACTACCACTGGTGGCTACAATATATATCCTATATGCATGCATGCCCAATGAACAGGCCCCCCTCCATGCTTGTCACATCACATACCTCTCTCACCACCGTCCACGTGCCCTCTCCTCAACACATCACAGCCGACCAGTTCAGCGACAATCCAAACACGTAAATCAAGATAACTCATCAGCTGCCATTATTTCTTCTTGTTTTCCAGTTAGGAATGTACTTACGCTTCCTAGTTATTAGTACGACGTGGTTGTTGGTTGACGAGTTATTCGTCGTTGGGGTTGGGGCTGGGGCTCCGAATGTACTAACGTGTTTATGCTTGCATTAAGCGGCGTCATGGACCACGGTCCATCACTTCATGATTATGTATTACGGCCTCATTGATTCATGTTCAGTAGAGTTACCATGCTTTACATCCTCCCAGATGTTCTGTCGGGCCGGAATGTCCCTTAAGGTTGAGGTTCGTGTGACAGAAAATAGGTTGAGAAAGACGAAACTTCTTTGAGATGTCGTTCTTTAAGAATAGTGAATAAAGAATTGAACAATGTGCGGCTAAGCAGAAGTGTGTAGCAATGGTGATAGGGTTAAAATGCCTTTTTATGGATCCATTTTCACATACCTATTTGTTTTCTTCTTAAAACTTATATGGTGAGGAAGAAGCAGGTAGAGGGTCAGCCATGAAAAGAAGCTGAAAGAGGCAAAATCTTGACATTTGAAAGAGCATTTAAAATTTGGTTAGGGCAACGGGCAACCAGTCCCCCCACTCCATTTCTAAAAGTGGTCAGCCTAAGCCGTCGTAATAAGGCCATAGCCTACCTAGCCTGACACTTTGACCCTTGGTCCTAGCTAACTTGTTTGTATTACTTTTACCCCTCTTTTTCAGCTTTGATATCTTGTGGGTAATAATGGTAGTAATTATAAGATTCAGAAAATAATTTCTCTCTTTTTTAGGTATTGGTGAAACTTTACTGAATCACAGCAATTATGTACTTTATTTATGCTGTCCCCCCTTTGCCCATCTGCCTTCTACATTCTAGTATTCTACCTATCCTTCTACCACTCCCATCAAGAATACAATATGTTCAGGAATTTAGCTCAATGATTCAAATCTCATCATAGAAGTCTTGCTCCAAAAATTGAGTAGAAATTTAAAATTTAGAAAAATGATTAAAGGTGATAAAGACTTATTGTGTGTAATATGTATATTGTATAAGGTGAGAACTGAGAACTACCTAACCTAATATCCCTTGGGGTAAGAGTTTTGAGGATTTATAATTAGTTTAGTGTAAGTTGAGAATTCTAATGCATAAAAAAAAAATACAATTCTATAAAGATTGAGCCCTATAGCTGCAATGTGAAAATTATATTCAGTATGGCGTGGTCTCATTGTGAACACAAAACATTGATCTTTGTAATAATATGTTGTTGAATTATTGTGATTTATCTATTTACTATTCCATCAAGGGCTGGAATATTAAAGGCGAAGAAATTTTTGACTTTTGTGAGCAAAATTACAGTGGCAAATTATGTTGTGCAACCGTATGCACCATGCATGGTGCACACTGTTCTATGTTCATTATTACTGAACTATATGTTTATAATTATAAAGCTATATATTCATATATAATTTTTAAACTTCATGTTCATAATTATTGAACTCTATATTCACAATTACAGAACTCTATGTTCATAATTTTCGATTTCATATTCCCAATTGTTGAACTCTGTATATATTCACAAATAGCAGAATTATATGTTCATAATTTGATAACTATACAATTTAGAAATTATGAATCTACAATACATAAATTATGAATCTACAGTACAGATATTATAAATCTGCAGTATAGAAATTATGAACCTACTGTATAGAAATTATGAATCTACTGTATTTAAATTATGAATCTATAATATAAATTTTATGAATCTACAATATAAAAATTATGAATCTATAATATAGAAATTATGATTATAGTATATAAATTATGAATTTAGAACCGTGTGCAAATGGTTGCACAACATAACGTTCCAATTACAATTCTATGATATGTAATTGGGCTTTCATGTGGGCCTCAAAATAAATTCAGCCCATGTTGATAGCAAGCCCCAACATGACTATTTGTTGATGGTTTAGTAAATTTATTTTTGTGCTTTTTTACTCTTTATTATTCATAAATGAAATTTTTGCATGAATCATTTGATAGTATTGCTATGAGATTAATTAAAATGGGCTCTAATTCAATTTTACTCTTACTCAAAAAAATATATTGTGAAGCTAGTAGAAGGGTTCATTAATCTTGGGGCCTCGGCCCCTCTGGCGCATCAAAAAAATATATATTGTGAATGGCGTGTAAACTTTCATTTAAAAGAAAGAAAAAAAAAAAAAAAAAAGATGACTGCAAAGCAAGATAAGAAGAAGTGTGATTACGATGTGATCGCGGAGATTAAGGCAATAATTCATTGATCGTCCTTGACTATAGTGATTTTTTTCAATTTTGTCTTAAATGATTTTGGTGACCTAATATCGTCCCAGACTTTTGTGTTTCGCTCAATTTAGTCCCAGATTTTTGTGTTTTTGCTCAATTTAGTCCCCCATTTGTTATTCTGTCCATTTGGTGTTAAATAAATAGACAATTCAGTAATTTTAATATTGGCATCTCTTTACTCATAGACATGTGAACTGCGAAATCCTTTTTTTTTTTTTACGAATTACTCCCAGAATTACTCCTAAAACTGCGAATATAAAATTTGATTTGCAGGTCCGGGAGGAATTATGGGTGTAATTCGTACAAGAAAGAGGAATTTCGCACTTCACAAGTTGAAAGTAAAGAGAGATCAATATTAACATTACTGAATTGTCCATTTATTTAAAACTAATTTGACAAAATAACAAATGAAGAACTAAATTGAGCAAAACACAAAAGTCTGGGACGATATTAGGTCACCAAAGTCGTTTAGGACAAAATTGAGAAAAACCATAATTCATAATTCATCTAACCAAAAAAGGCTTCCTCAACACTCATCGACGGTTGCTTTCCTTTGTCGGAAGATCGGTGGCGATGCAACGGCGTGGTATTCCGGTCCAGATAATGCAGCAACAAAACCATAGCCATTGAGGTAGCAAACATGGGAATCGGACCGAAAAACCAGAACAACAAGGTGATGGCGAAATACAGAGCTCGAAGCCCAAGCGACCAGAATTCACCTCCCCTGATCACCGCCGACTCAACGTAGCTGATCGGAATGTCGCTGTCCGGCATGCTGATCAGATAATTAGCGTGAATGAAGTTCCTTGATGCTTGGACGAAGCACGAAAATCCCACCAAGAAACACACAAGCAGGCTTATGTACTTCACTCCCATGGTCGCCGCCCGCGTGTCGCCGTAGATCAAGTCGCTGATAAAAATGGTGGAATTATTCGCCATCCATGTCCCAATCAGAGAGCTTAACGTCAAACAAACTGTCGCCATGAACGTAGCCCCCGTGTTGTTATATGCCAAAACATCTAGCGCTGTGCTTACGTTCTTGTTCTCCGCCTGCACCACGCCGAATCTACTTAAATCAATACTCTTCAGAAACAGAAAAAAAAAAAATGATGAAATTTGCAGAAAATGAGCGTTCACTACCTACCTGCATCACTTTTTCGACCCACGCTCTCTTGTCATTGTTCTCGAAGCCGATGACAGTGGTGTGAGGGGTGTGGAGGTATCTATAGAGCAAGATGAGATGATAAGCAAACATGACGAGGAGGCCAGTTGGGACTAGGAATAGATCAAGGGATTCCTTCGGGAGCAAAACCATTGTTTAATTTGTTCGATCTGGTAGAGACGACGATGGAAGAGATTGATGAGGGCTTTGGGATCATTAATTTTTGGTGGTTAATTATCAAATCTTCCTTAAAAAGGAACCAAACTGTTTTTTTGATGTATTAGAAGCAAGCTATGACTTTACGTGAATGGCTTGCCAACACAACATGGAACATCGAAATTCTCAACGCCACAATTTTGTTGACTTCATTAATAAAGATCATCAAGTAAATCAGACCAAGTGGTATATATCTTTATTAACAAGTTTGTTTTCCTGGCTGTTATCCACATGATTCGCCCTTCATCATCATCCTTGCCATGACATATGTTTGAAGATTTGCCTGGCTCAATCAAATTGTTCAGGTAGCAGGCTATTGAATTTCTTAATTGGAACAAAACAGTTACGAACAACCTAGATTAAGCCAGTGACTTGGTAATAACAAGTCGGCGGGAGCCTGTAAGCTACAACCAACCTTGATTTGTTTCTCTGATCTTTTTGTGGTTCTTTATTAGCTAGAATCATAATTTATTCAGTACACATCCTTAGATAGTGATTGTAGTTTGTGTAAGGTGATTCATTAATTAAAATGAGTATGGAGTATAGGCTTGCAAATTTAAGGCTTTGAAGGCAAGCATTTGTGGTCAGCGGCTGTATTATTGGATGCTGAAGGCTGATGAAACCATTATTATATTATATGCTACAGAGTATATCTTATGGCTTAGATAACAATTTTAAAAACCCCATTAATTAATTAAGCATATAGTTTTCAAACGCAATATCCTTGAATTGGCTTGTGAATCAATGACCATAAATAGAATAATATAATGACAATAATTGAAATAGAGAGTTTTAACGTACATATAAAATTAACCTCACTTCATTATAATTGAAGCTGTTTACAGGACATAATATATATGGGAACACCTCATCCAACGTAACTTTGGCTAAACCACAAGTTGAATACATGATGCCAATAATATCAAGAACGGAACTTTCTTGTATGTACTTTTGAGACTTTTGACTACATCCTCTAAAACACAAACAACAAAGTATTAGTATTTGACTCCAATTGGAACATACACAATCTGCAGATTGCAGGACTAGTATGATTAGAATCTCAGAATTCTAGTACTTACAGATCCTTACCTAGTTCTGCAGATTACCAATGACCAGAAAGGGGGAGGGGGAACTTATCCACATTGGAATCACTACCTAAAGGGGATTACAAAAAGGGAAGGAAGGAAGCACATGTAATGTATGCAAAAATGGTTTGCCAGCAGTTTGATAGATAGAGGTGTGATTAATTATTGTTGCATTTAAAGCTTACATTGTGGCCCTTGGAATTGGCTCTCTTCAGAGGTTCCTTCAAACTTAAAAACGGGGAACGTTCCATAGCTGAAGAGGACCGGCACTTTAAGATCCCTTTTATAGGCTGTTTTTTAGCAGTCTCTTCCTTATTGGAAACATCACTCCTCCGAAGTTCCACATATGAAGAGGAGGGACATTTTAGGATCCCTTTCAATGGCTTTCTTGGTGTGCTCATTGCCTCCTTGTCGGGATCAACAGGAACCGGTGCAGGGCATGGATTAAACTGTGACATACCTAAAGGAAATAGGCACTTAAACATCCCTAGAAATGGCTTTTTGGTCGTGTTGGAATCATCATTTGCTGCGCTCTCGGGCTCCTCTCCTGTCACTAAATCATCCGCCTCACTCACTTTCGCCCGGACAACATAATCGCCACAAGAATACATTCTTTCACCTTTGCCACAACCAAACTCATTATGGCCTATGGTCTCTCTGGTTTGGGCAGTATCACAATCACCTTCTTCATTGTTGTCTGCAATAATATAATTACACAATTATTACCACTAACATATATTATTGTCTTTAGCTCTGATCTTAGCAATTTAGCATAAAGATGGTTACCTACCTTTCTCCCTAGCATTGCGAATTTTGCCTTCAAACAATTTGAACCATCCTTCAGTTAGAGGCAGCAAGGAAAGATTCATTTGAAAAGGACTTTTCCTGGGGGCATCATTCACTTTTTTCTTCTCTATGGCACCAAACAATGACATGGCAATAACGGTAGATATAAACAGTTGGCAGATTCCACATTTGATCTGCTCATGTCTCTCAAACGACGAAGAATCAGCCAGCCCAATCATTCTCCTGATCCCAAGAACTTTCTTTGCCAGATCTCCAAGCTCACATCTCTTGTACTTGGGGGAGTTGTAAAATTTGGCAGCTAGGTAACCAACATCGGCCTTATGTTTTGTCAATCCTAATTGTTCAAACGGGAATAGCTCTCCCTTCTCAGGTATGCCGAAACCCACAAAGCAAATTCTCTCATCAGTAAGAAATTTGAGTATTGGACCCGGGATCACTGCCCCGGAACGAAACCTGAGGATCACACAACCTAACCCAAAACACAAGAGCACTAACACTATGGAGGGGTCACGAGGGTGATGCATAACATCAATGCCAACAATGGGTCGATGAACCCAAACCTTACCTTTTGGAAAAAGAAAATCCTCTGTGCATAAGTATTCAAAATCTTTTGCTTTGAAGGTAATACCTTCTAGCTTAACCTCAAAACGGTTGGTTCTCAGATATACAGTACCGGCCATATCTAAGAGAATACGAGAGAGACTATCGTTGGCTTGACAGGCTTATTGATGATGGAGATTCTTGAGAGATCGAGCAGACCAATTATACCTGGTGCTAGTTAGAAAATGACAACTATTTTGCCCCTGGTTGACCCGACATGACAAGGCAATAAGCAACAAAGAAACCAGACAGGGGTAAACACATTATGGGATTAAAATGCAACCAAAATACATGAGAATAAGATGGAGAAAAAAGTGGGCAACCACTGATTCCTCAATATCACTGACTGCCAATGAATTAAGGCATGGTTATCCAATAGTGTAGTAATTCTAGACAAATCTGACCCATCAGATAAGCTGCCCTGATCTTTGGAAACCTTGTAATTACAAAATTCAATAACACAACGTTCCTAATGCCATACAACACAACATGGCTATGTAACAGTCCCTAAAACTCAACTTCTCTCTCACACACCATAAATAAGAAAGTAGACCTGGCCCGACAAGTCGACAATTATAGACACTATTCATTAACATAACACGAAAATAACAAGTTAGTGTTGACCCCATTAAACCTATTAAGAAAGAACCATTTAATCCGTTAATATTATTAACCCGTGTAACCCATTGTGATTTAATATAAAAGAAAAGTATTTTCGTGTCATATCTCGTCGACACGACCTGAAACCTGTTAACAAAATGTGTTTAACCTGTTTATAAATCGTGTTCGTGTTTGTGTAGCAGCCATTTCCGAGATAACTATTAAATAGGACATGAAATCATTAATTAGCCAATTCAGGGGCAACCAAGCTAGATTGAGCAGACGGTTAACTTGATAATAATCCAACATAATCAAGAATCAAGAAAATGTTCGAGGGCGGAACAAAGCCAATTCTTGTTCTCCACTTAGTTGCAGTTGCGTAACTTTGAGGCAAATAAAAACCGTAGAGGCATCGTAAGCTACGGCATAATGGAAAAAAATGGTTCTTGATGGATTACGTGTCCAAGGAATATATGTTTACTAGGAATATCGTAGCGAATTCCATTTGGCTATACATATTCCAATACTGGATTCGCTATCCTGATGGGAGCACCCCACTTTTCTCCATTGTTTATTCCTTGTTCTCTTCTCTATTAAATGGATGGCCTAAGAACTCTGACAAAAATCCCATTACAGCTTAGCTTCCCCGGAAACTCTGCTTCTAATCTCGGTTTCATTTCTTCTTCACGGTGCTAAAGAGGCAATGGGGAGAGGAAAGTTTAAGGGAAAGCCCACTGGCCGCCGCCACTTCTCCACCCCAGAGGAGATTAGTATGTTTTCCGGCCTTCATTATATATACGTTTCTATGGATCTTGCATATCTCTTTATAGTTATAGATAATTGAATTTGGATTATCGAATTATGGGCTTTGGATACAAATTACAAAGCCTCTGAATTCTGGTTTAGAACATTGTTTAACCAAATATTGATTATATCAAATTATATGGTGAACCAAAGTCCACCTTGGTTCAAAACAAGTCAAAATTTCTAATTTTTTTTTTCTATTTATATGTTCAAAATCAAAACTTAACTTAATGTTTAAAAACTAGACACTATTCAAAAGTTCAAATATTAATGTTCAGAAACTAAACACATAAACTCAAAGTTTAATGTTTATAAATTAGACCCTACACCATTTACGTTGTTACATGCCTTACATATATCAGAAACTCAGAGCTTAATGCTCAAAAACTCAAAAATTAATGTTTAGAAACACATTTGGCATGGTATAAGACCATCCACACCCATGAAAGGGATAGCCTTGGAAAGTCTAGGTGGTTTTTTTTTTTTTTTTTTTTTTTTTTAGATGATATGTCTTCTCTAATTTGCAAGTCTGACATGGCAACTTGCAAAGGAAAATATTACATCAATTCTCACTTTTTACTCACAATTTTTACTATTTCTCATAAATCATTGATGTAGACATTTTTTTTGAGACCTACATTATAAAAATATCCTATCATTGAGTAAAAGTGAGAGAGTAGAATTTGAGAATACATATAATAGAACTCACTTGCAAATTTTGCAACTACTGTGTCAAGCTTGCAAAAGGAGAGCATGGCCTTTATATATTATTTTATTATTATTATTATAATATTTTATTAATAAAAGAAATAATTTTTTTATAAATTGATGTGATAGTGAAGTTATTTTTGAAATAGGAGAGAAAATTACATAGATAAAGAGTGAATAGTGCATAATTGTAATTTTTATGATGTGACATTTTAAAAATGAGAAAAAATTACATGAATGAGGATAACCTAATGCTGTTATTTTAAACCAGGGTCCCTTGCACACAATATAACGATTGTGATTATATACCCATTCTGGTTATGAGATTCTTGATTTGGTTTCTTACATTTTGTTGTTATTCCAGTGGCAGGTACCCCTGCATCTCGCCCGCGCACATTTAGACAGGTATTGCTTATTGCTATATATGTATAATAAATTTATTTTTATATCCGAAACATGAGTGTTTTGATGCGTTCGTTACTCGAATAGACATAGTTTAGCCTTGCAAAGTTGCAACTAAACTAAACTAAATCCAATATTTATATATCCGCTCCTTGGTTTTGTTAGGAAGAAGCTGAAGTAGAGAAAGATGAGAGATTTGGTAACGAGTCCAGTGAGGAGTCTGAAGGGTCTGAAAAAGAACAAGTATCACAACTCTACCTCATATATATCAACATTATATTGTTTTTTTGGTTTTTACTTTTTAGATACTCATTATATATGGATTTTGATATTTGCTTAACAGAGGCGCAGCCTGATTGAGATTCAGAATCCAAATCTAGTCAAGCCTAAGAATCTGAAAGCCAAGAATGCTGATGTAAGATAGATAGACCCATCTTCTATTTGCTAAATGATTTTTTGTTCTTGCAATCTGATATAATAAGTTCTTCTCTCTCTATCATGCAGACTGAGAAAACAACTGAACTTTCAAGGCGTGAAAGGTATGACTTAGCTTGTGAGCTCTAGTTTTCCTGCCATTCTTTCTTTTGCTAATGGATGGGAAATGTTGTGTTCTGCAGGGAAGAGATAGCGAAGCAGAAAGCTCATGAGCGCTACATGAGGCTCCAAGAACAAGGCAAAACAGAACAATCAAGGAAAGATTTAGGTATTTTTCTTATGCCTATATTAATGCTATCTTCTTTCTTGATACCTGTAATTTTAATTTCAGTCTTAAACTTGCAGAACGATTGGCCCAGATAAGGCAACAGAGAACTGAAGCTGCCAAAAAAAGGGAAGAAGAGAAAGCTGGTATTATATTCTCAAAAGATAACCCAGTTTATAGATGTTCTTTTAGGCGGTTTTTTGGTCCTATAAATTGATTATTAGTCTGATTTTGTTATGGTGGTTTCTTCTGCAGCCAGAGAACGAAAGAAGTTGGAAGCTCAGAAATGAGTATTAATGGATTCCCCAAGCCACCAGGAACCAACTGAGCTATCCGTGTTCGTCATTACTGGTCATATGTTAGACATAAATTAAGTACTAAATACTGGACATTTATATGTTTGGTACTTGTATTGTCACAATAAAAATAATGTTTCATTGTACATTTTACATTCTGCATTAGTTTGTGTTGGCTTGTCCTCTCATTTCAAGAACAGCACCGACCCTGCTTCACAGCAGAGACGTCGTCCTTGTTCCCAACGATGGATATGATTTGTCCCTTGGGCACAGTGGCCGGATTACTGCCGCCGCAGTCGAGGGCACTCCGGCTGATCACTCGGTATATCTGAGACAGCACCTCCGAGAAGGCATTTTCTACGTTAATTGCCTCGAGAGCTGAGGTTTCCATGAAGAAGGTGTTCTCCCTCTCCGCAAATATCTTTGAATCGTCGGTCGTAACGGCCCGCAGGTGACGGAGATCTGCCTTGTTCCCGACCAACATGATGACCATGTGTTGGTCGGTGTGTTCCCGGAGCTCCTTTAGCCACCGTTCCAAACTCTCAAACGTTACCCGTCGCGTCATATCATAAACCAGTAAAGCTCCGATGGCTCCCCGGTAATATGCGCTCGTTATTGCACGATACCTATATCCCCATATATACATGCATTAATTCACCATCGTTTAGAAAAAAAAAAAAAAAAAATAGATGATCGGAGGAAGGTTACCTTTCTTGACCGGCGGTGTCCCATATTTGAGCTTTAATGACTTTGTTGTCGACTTCAATGGTGCGAGTGGCGAATTCGACACCAATAGTGGATCTCGACTCTTGATTGAACTCATTACGTGTGAAACGAGAAAGTAAATTGGATTTCCCAACCCCAGAATCCCCTATCAATACTACTTTAAATAAATAATCGTAATCTTCTTCTGGGTTGGGACCCATAATTTCTTTTTAACTTTAACCTAGGGATAGATAATATTAGCTAGTAAGGAATATTGATGATATTCCTTTGTTGGGAGGAAATGTCCCTCCCAAGGGTTAGGAGGGAGAGGAACAAGGGTGAAATAAATTAATGCAAATGAACACTACCTCCATATCCGACCCCTTTTATAATGCCAAGGGGAAAGGGCAAAGAAGTCATGACAAAAGAGATGAGAGGTGTGACAAGAGCAAGAAATTGTATCCATGTTTTCTTTTACATATATTAATGGTCCTCACAATTCACAATATGAGTTTAGAATAAAATTAAGATCATATTACTACAATACAATTAATGAATCTCATTGTTCTACGAAATTAACTCCTCATCACAACAGGCTAGCTCTTCATCATTTCTCCAAGTAATTATTATGTTACAAGGCTACAAGCTACTTAGGTTACCATGGTCCATGAATACTAATATTAATTAAACAAATAGTGCACAAAAGGCATCTTTGCATTTGTCAAACAAGTGAGTATTAGGTATTGCAACACAAAATTTTTGGTAAAAAATAAGAATTAAAATGTTGTCTAGTGACAGTCCATTATGGAGTATGGACCCAAAAAAATAAATAAATATTTAAAATAAGTCGTGAGTCATATTAAAAATTTAAGTTCGCTCTTGTTTTAAAGGACGGACTTTAATTTCAATTCTAATAACATAAATGTAGACTTAAAAGGGATATAATTGAGCCACAAATAAATTGAATAGTTTGGCTCAATTATTAAATAAGTTGCATAATATTAAAGAGGTCATCGAGAATATAATTATCAAACTATGTTGTGAAAATGATAGTGAAATCGTGCCTATTTTTTTTTTTTAAATAATAATAAATAAAATGGATGGGTTGTCCTTTTGTCCAATAGTTTAATTTGAAGTTAATGTCACATTAGTTATTAATTCAAAATGTATTACCTAACAAAATTCAAAATTTTCATTAGATATAGACAGATTTATGGTTAATTTTTAATAAAATTTGGATGACAAATTTAACCCTTATTCCTTAATACAACACAATATCTTATGAAACAAATTTAAATCCAAAAATTTACTTATAAGTGTGAAGTATAAAATGAGTCAGATTCATAGCATACCATTTTAACATATACCATGAAAATTTAAAATGATTTTTTAGACGTACATGTACAGTAGACAAATTCATCGACCTGTGAATGATCAAAGCCCATAAATATGTCTGATTATAATTAAATGATTGTTGCACAAAAGTTTATTTCCTATTTCATTTTAGAGTTAATTTCACAAGAGGTCCCTTGTCTTTTATAGCGATTTCAAATTTAGTTACAGACTATCGTTTTTGTCATTTAACATGTCAGCCTATTATTTTTAGTCATTTTTAGTCATTCTTATGATTTTTCCTATTTTATTAAGTGTATTTTTGTCTCTTCATTTTTTTTTGTTATTTTTAATTTTCTGGTTTCAACTGGTTTACTAAAGACAAAAATGTCTTTACTAAAAATAAGAAAAGCCATGAGAAAGACTAAAAGTGTCCAAAAAATAATAGTCCGGGACTCTGGGATATGTTAAATGGCAAAAACGATAGTCTGAGTCATATGTTATTCAATTAATTGGACGATACTTTTATACTAATATTATAATCAAATAAATGTACACTTTCAAATATTTAATTTTTTAAAAATAATTTCATCTTTAATTTTATTATCATCTAAATATATAATAAAAAAATTTTATCCGTACATCACACGAATAATTTACTAGTTCATATGACATTATATTTTTGCCTTTTTGGTCAAAAATTGAGCAATATTTATTTTTAAAACGTGAAGTTATCTATTTTAGAGTTCCAGTATAGTTTCAAAAAGAAGTTATTTGGTAAATATAGGTGACATAATACTCATAAAAAGAGATCGTCAATTGTTATATTAGGAAATTAATATAGCATCATATATGGCCCCAACAATGATCAATCTAGAATGCTATATTCTTTTTTTTTTTTTTTTTTGAAACAAGAATGTTATATTATTATATATTATATATAAGTGTGAGTAATATTGCATACACTAACACTACCTAATAGACATGTGCACTATATGTGTCAACTCGAGATATTGAATGACCGTCAATTATTGACCACACTATTTATTTCTCTCTTAGATTTCACCTCACAAATACTTCTAAAATAATACAAAATGGAGCAAATGGAAAAGAATAAGTCATTTGTCCCATCCACCTAGCATAACTCCAACAGGGAGCAGTATGGTGGTAAACTAACAGACATGCTTTCATTCCGGCATGCAAGCAAAGGTATATAGGCAGCTACATAGGAATAGGATAGCCCATGATTGTCCAATGTGTCGCAAAAGACAGAATTTTAATACACTCACATTTCTAAATCAATCATTATAATCATCTTTTCCGCTTTTCGATCAATCAAACTTAGACCGAATAAAATAAGATACACAAATTAATTAAAGTTTGGTCAACTGTACTCCGTCATAGACTCATAGCCTTCATAGGACGATACTGTTTTACCACATTGCACGAAATCAATTTAGTTTAATTTATCTATATCGTTGTAAATATTTTGCATGACAGAATGTATTGTGATTATTTAATTAATTCAGAACCTTCGAATATATATATTAATAATTGAAATGTACCATGTCAAATAATAAGAGTTGCATTAATGGAAGGTATTGCGCTCACAAGTATAAGAACACACACACACAAATTTACATCCTAAAATGTAAATAAATAATAAAAACACACAATAAATTATTAATTAATTATATACCTCAAATTTAGAGAGTAATGGAATTAAATTCGATAATGCCTTCTATTATTAAAATCTTGACAAATAAAATAAGCTAATTAATAAAGAAAAATAGTGAATTTGATTATTTGATTTATTTACTTTCACTTAATAATGTATTTGGACTTGTATATATATATATATATATATATATATATATATATATATATATATATATATATATGCAATACGCCTGAGTTTCTTAATGGGTTGCAAGCATCCAGTGTACCTAATCATGCATTAACATTGAAAGTTAGATCTCCTATAATATAATGTTGTTGATGAATATAGATCACTTAATGGCTTATGCAATGGTATTAGATTGGTCATTACAATATTGTCCGACAATGTTGTTGAAGAAAAAATAATGACCGGTAACAACGCGGGGAGTAGGGTATTATTGATTCCTAGAATGTCTATGACTTCATCAGATCCAACATTGCCATTCAAATTTCAAAAAAGACAACTCTCAATGATGCTTTCATATAAAAGTAACAATAAATAAAAGTCAAAGACAAACCCTATCTCATGTTGGTTTGCTACTAAAGAAATCCGTTTTTGAACATAGCCAATAGTATATATGTTGCTGCATCTAGTGTTAGCAATCCCAAGGGGTTCAAAATTTTAATTCGTTAATTGTACTTCAACGGCTAATGTGATTTACCAGGAAGTTTTTAATAATTTATAATTTCTATTTATTTTTAATCAAAATTAAATAAAATCTTATTTATTATTTATCTTCTCCCAAATATTTATTATTTATCTAAACATATACCTTGATAACAACATTTTTTCCTATATTTTTAAACTCCACATTTCTTAAAGTAAATAAATACTTGTACCATTTTCATAACTATTTCACAATAATATTTAATAAACCAATAATTACAAGATTTCATGTGTAATTGATTTTTATATATTCAACCGAGTGTTTTATTAATATAACGTTATACATTAACATATAATCTTTAGACCGTGTATCGCACATATAAATTATTAGTTGAAGGGAGGTCTACTGGTATCGGATTGCTCCCCTATGTGGGGGGTCTAGGTTTTGAGCCTCAGTGTAGGTGTAGTTTGCATGGGTATCCCCTCCCTTTATAATAATAAAAAAAAAATTTACTAGTTGAAGTCCCCAAATTCTTCAAACATTGACATTTTCCCCCCTCAATTCCTGCAAAAAAAAAAAAAAAAAAAAAAAAAACGTTATCTTGACAGTACGTGCATTATATAATCATTCTTTCCTCAAAGAAATTATGTGCACATTCTTAATTGAGTATTATTCGTGTACATGCATGTCACAAATAGTTTTGATTGAATTGAAGATTCCAAAACTTAATAAAAGACTAGTCCATCGTAACGGTCAGAGACTCAGAGTGTCCATTGATTATTCATTAAAAAAATATTA